CTTTAACCGCTAGGCCATCAGGGCTGGCTATGTGGCTCAACTTTGAATCAGCAAGCTAGCTAATTTTAGACTAGATCTTCATCTCTTATTCTATCTGTATTCCTCCTAATTTTGATTTTATCTACGTTTTCAATTTTTTCTTGCATCTCTTGAATGCCATGAAATATCTGTGAGAAGAGACAGGATATAAATAAGTAAAATCTCATAAGAACAGAGAAAATATGAACCTTCCAAGCATCAATTGTGGTATCAATATTTGCATTGCTATTTAACAAAATGGAGAATAACTTTATTTAGCAAAAAGTGAGTGACGTTTTGCTTCATGTTACAATGCTGAACATCACGTAGTTTCAATGAAATTGCCTCTAAACTTTTTAAGACACAGCAATCCTATCTCTAAAGCTTTTATTTTACTTTTTGGTGGGGCTTTCACCAGGCCAAAATGGAAGTCAAGAGATCAGATAATGACTCAGTTGGACAATGGATCTTTCTGAGGCACTATCTACAATATCTTTTTGTGAGCATCTAATGAAATAACCCATTCACTGCCTTTTCTGTCCCAATGTCAAAGATTTTGTTGAGTCCAAGGACAGGTTACACACCTTGGTAAGTGACAGAAGAGGGAAATAATGTCTTGATTGATGTCTTTCAGCTAACTTAACAAAAGGTTATCTAAATTTTCTGGGATAGAATACCTTCGACTTGTCAAGAAAGGTATATAAAAGACATGAAAATAGAATATAGCGTCAATAAAGGCCATACAGTCAAATCTGAAACACAACCATAGCAAATATGCAGTAGAAGAGGACATTGGGAGGGTCATTTAACACTTAAAGCCTCAGCTTTAACATCTCTTTAAACACAATGGACCGTGAACGTTGTTCATGTCACTTAGCTGTGTTCTAAGGCACAACAATGGCTACCTTCTCAAGCACAGAGGGCCTTAGGGGACAGGATCAAATCCACCTTGCCGCTTAATCCAATGTGATCCTGGACAAGTTATTCAACCTTTCTACACATCAGCTTCCTGATCTGTAAAATGGGCTGGCAGGAACCACTTCTCAGGATTGCTGGCAGGATTAAATGAGGTAGAATATATAAAACACTATTACAGTGAATGGGGTATATACTGAGGGCTCCACATTGGTATGGCTTATTATTTGAAGTATTACTATCTCAATCCATAAAATGATGAAATGATACTAACCCATTGTTATGAAGACATAAGATAATGAACATAAATGCCAATAAAAGCAATAAAAGATGTACAATAGAGGGGAGTAACAATTATGATTGTGACAAGAAAGCAGTTAATATAACCATAAATTCTGCTAAGCCACTTCAGACAGTATGAGTCACCTCTAATATAACACAATTTTTAAACACAATAAAACCTGTGCGGACTTCATCCAATGACAAAGGTTGAATTAACGTAAAATTTGACAAGAGGTTTGCCCTCCTGAATGCTGTTGCCTTCCAAAGAATTTTGGGTGAGATAAGATGTTTGAAGTTACAAGACTTCAAGCTCTGCCCTTATGTAATTAACCTTTCTTAATCCTCACCCCTTGACTAGGCAGCCACTAATTTAGGGATATCCCTTACTTGAGAGAGGCTGCCTCAGCAGGAAGCTGGTTGCCAAGGAGAAACTCACCTACTCCACCCCTCCCTCCCTCCCAACCCCCAACACTACCAGGAATTTCCTTTCTCTTCGTCCACCTTCAACACTGGACCCAACCAAGCATCTCTCATTATTATCTCTGCAGCTGAGCAGAGTGCCCCTCTTCCTACCTCTCAATCTCTCTTTCTCTCTTCTCTCAGGCTCTCAACCTCAATCTCTTCCTCTGTCTCCTTGGAATGGCCTCCATTCTCTCCACCAGGAATGCACACCATGCCTTACAAATACAGCTGACCACACCGAATGTGTAACTCTCAGCCTGGGTGCCTTGTGGACCTGGCCATGCACCCATTTTCCAAAGTTCAGGACAAACTGCATACTCAAAGGTCGCCCTTCCCATTCTGAGGCAAAGATTTTATTTGCGCACTCTCTGACAAAGCCTGCTAATTCTACCTCAAACAGAAAATCATTTGAGCTCTTCGAAATGAGGATTCCAAAGCATAAAATAACAACCAATGATGACAATCAGAGTCCCCTAACCACCACCTCCCATTGGGTCTAAAGATCTTGCTTGCCCTAGGAAAAGTTTTCCACCCTCAGTGGAGGAGATAATTGGCCTTGAGCTGACTGTACACTTTACAAGATATTCCCAGGTTATTAAAAGTACCTTACATCATTTGCCCCAGTCAACTCTCCAACTCAACTTCCAATAAAAGTTGGAAATTTTATTTTTAACATCTCAGAAAAGAAATGGCAGGAAAAGAGGCCGGCCCGGTGGCGCAAGCGGTTAAGTGCGCGCGCTCTGCTGTGGCGGCCCGGGGTTCGCCGGTTCGGATCCCGGGCACGCCTCGACTCACCGCTTCTCAAGCCATGCTGCAGCGGTGTCCCATATAAAGTGGAGGAAGATGGGCATGGATGTTAGCCCAGGGCCAGTCTTCCTCAGCAAAAAAGAGGAGGATTGGAAGATGTTAGCTCAGGGCCGATCTCCTCACCAAAAAAAAATAAAAAGAAAAAAATAAAAAGAAATGGCAGGAAAAGAAACTCAAGTACCACAGGTCTTTCATGCATTTTCAAATCTTAAGAACAGAAGGAATGCTCCCTGTCCCCCCTCTCTCTCCTCACCCCGTCCCAACTGCTCCTATGCAGTCACTGCTCTGCAGGTAGGGAGGCTGGCTTCAGAAAGGGAGAGGGACAATTGCATTAACATTCACCTTCTGCAAGACGCATATGCTTTTGTAGATTCTTGGATCATACTTTCAGACAGAAACTAGATTTCAGAAGAGGGGTGGCCGGGAGACAGGGAGGGGGAAAGGAAAAAGTGGCTTGTAGTTTCAGAGAGAAAAGGAGAAAATTGGAAGAATTCAGGGCCAAATAATCATAACCATACGCCCCAGGGACCTTAGCGGTCCTTCAGGCTAGAGGCTTCAAACAGGCCTCGTAGGTTTGGACTTCAAGGATTCTTTGTTTAGTTGGCTCATAATGTGTTAAAAATGTAAGCCTACGTTTAAAAACTGGGAGATATCACATGAAAAACAGATCTAGCAACTTCAGCCCATTTTTAATCATGGCTGTCACAGGTGGAACCAGGGGGCGGCTGCTCCCCTATGCTCCTAGGTGGCCACACTCTGATTCTCATGGATACCCCCACCCTCGCCACTTCTCCCCACACAGGACTTCACTGTTTTATTTCTCTCCCCTGCCGTTGAGGACATTTGAGTTTATGGCTCCCGATCAAGGCCACTCTAACCTGTTCTGCACATAAGAAAAATAAAGCCCGGATTGGGGCAGTCACTTGCTTAACATCACACAGCTTCTCAGAGCAGAGACGCACAGCAACCCCAACTCCTTTACACACAAACAAGCGCTCTGAGCCTCTGTTTTCAGGAAGAATCTTGAGTTAGGGAAACAGCGTGCTGGCAGCCTTGTCCCTGAAGCTCCCTCTCCCAGCTAAACAATCTTTGACCTTCGAATTGGTTGATCTTTAAGACTCCTTTGCCTTCACGGACTAGTCACTATGCATTAATTATCATGCTCAAGTAGGACATGGAGAGTCCTCCCATCTGCCAGGCCCTGAGCTCTGTGCACACTCTGTATGTTTTCTCGATGATTCTGGGAGATACGCATTATTAACACCATTTTACAGATGAGGAAGGCAATCCTGACACACCATGGACTTGGAGCTCGTCTAAGGGTATCCAGATTTCATTGCAGTCCTGGTTTTGAATGCTAAAAAAGACTAATTTTTAGTTACTATTTCCCCAAATCACCCACTGTATCTACTACCTGTGAAGCATTTTTTTTTTCTTTCCATGATAAGAGCTTTTGTAAGACACCAGCAGGAATTAACAGAAAAATGCACTGTGACATTTTAATACAGTTGATTTTAAAATTTGCAAGGCAAATGCTAGACAAATTACATTCTAAACAAAAGGGACAATAGGCACAGATATTCTTTTCTCTTGGGCTCTTGTAATTTATTGTTCAAGAACTTTCTTTGCATTTTTTAAAATAAATGCTGCTAAAAGTGAAGTTTGCTGGTTAAACAAAATAGTATTTTAAAAATTTGTTTTGTTTTTGAAAAGGCAATTTATACCCCATGATATTAGATACATTTAAGTTAGTAAATCTAAATGTAAAACCTTACTTAATGAGTAAGGCTCAGGACAGGCGCACACAGACAAGTGCAGTGGCCGAGCTGCACTTGAACCCAGGCCTATAAGAGCCCAAAGCCCATACACTTGCAACTTGCTTTGCTGCCTTACAAATAGCCACCATCCCCCCAACTAAGAAAAAAAAATAGAACTTATTTGGTCCCGAACAAAGTTAAATGATGGGGTGTCAAGCAAAACATGAGAAAGGGGCTCCACCTCTCTACCTGGAATTGTCATTGGGTTTTTGTGCAAACCCAGCTGCCCCCACTACACAAGGAGTTCCCTCGAGGAAGGTGCCCTGCCTTACACATGCCTCCAACGCATATAGAGTAGTCACTTAATGCTGCTTGGAATTATTAGTCAATAGCTTCTAGTTTCGGTTTTTGATCAAATTTTACTCAAATGGGCCTCCTGGGAGGATGCATTTTATGCCTCTTCATGGGTTCCCAGAAAAGTCCTTTCTTCTCTGCCCACCACTTCCCCCTCTTCTAGTTTTATTAACCCGCAGGGAGGTGTGCAGCAAAGTACATGAAATCCACAGGGTGGTTTGGTTTTGCAAACAAAACGAGTTGTGTTCCTGGCTTTTTAACTTTTCCTGTAATTTTTCCAAAGCAAACTAGGTAAAAATTCAACTCTAAGTGATCAAAAAAACCCACATATGCAAAGTACTTCAATACCAAAGCAGACAGTTGTTCTATAAGTAGTAGTGGTTCCTAAGTAATAATAATACTTACAACCCATATGATGATCAGTCTTCTGGATAAATAAGGGTCAATATTCCAGTGAGTGAATGGAAGAAACGTGATGTAGAACACTTCTTGACCCAAAGTGGCTGAAAATCTGAATAGGTAATAGTAGAAATAATTCTTCACAATGTACTTCTGTACATCAGCCTAAAAGACAAAAGTTAGGAGACTTTGTGAGTTTACCGAACATGTCACCATAGGGCAAGTTTTAAAAATCTCTATCTAAAAAAAAAAGAAAAAAAAAAATCTCTATCTAAAACTTATAGGTCTCTATTGCCAAGGTGTTGCCTTTCCCATTACGTAATTATGCTATCATCACGATCAGTGTACATCCTTGCTGAACATCTATTAACCACAATTCATCCACATGATCACAGAAGACGTTACTTCTTCATAAAATTAAATAAGTAATATCTAAGACAGAAATACCAGGAGAAGACACACAAAAAAGTCAAAAATATTTTTCCTGTGTATTCAGAAGGCTAGAAACTCGAGGGAGGCAAACTCTGTTAGGACACTGTATGAATCTGTGACTATGCTAGGCAGAATAACGCCCCCAAGGATGTCCACATCCTAATCCTTATAACCTGCAGATATGTTACCATCTTACATGGCAAAAGAGACTTTGCAGATGTAATTAAATTAAGGACTTTGAGATGGAGAGATTATCCTGGAGTATCTGGGTGGCTCAATGTAATCACAAAGATCCTTAAAAATGGTAGAAGGAAGCAGGAAGGTCAAGAGTCAGAGAGACACTTGAAGATGCTACACCGCTGGCTTTGAAGATGGAGGAGGAGGTCACGAGTCAAGGAATGCAGGCAGCCTCTAGAAAACTCTAGAAAAAGTAAGGAAATGGACCCCCCCCCTTGGGCCTCCAAAAGGCATTCAGCCCTGCTGACACCTTGATTTCAGTCCTATGAGAACCATTTTGGACTTCTGACCCCTACAGCTGTAAGAGAATAAATTTTTGTTGTTTAAGCCACTAAGTTTGTGGTAATTTGTTGCAGCAGCGATAGATAACTGAGACTAAGACATCAGAAAAATCACTTGCTGATGAACATTTTTAGTTTACCTTTTAAATGGGACTAGTCAAGTCAACCCACTACAGTGATGGTGTAAGAAACACAGCAAATGCCTGCTAAAATCCACTCCCATTTTCTGTCACACTTTCCCTCCCTCTTATCCTGGTAGGAGGCAGAAAAAAAATGAATTAAAGGGGTTAACAAAGGAATAAGCAGACAATCTATTTAAAAATATGGTAAACATCCTTAAATTATGGCAAATTAGTAACAAGCTAAAAAACAAAAACATCATCACCCTGTTAAATGAATCTAAAAAGTAGAATTTTAATGCTACTTATAGTCATAAACTTTATAAAAATAAAATTAAAGCAAAATGCCAACACCAAAAATGGAAAGGAAAAGATGTCAAGACTCTTGTAGGTCTAGATTTGTTGTGTTGTGTTTTATACAAACTCTGAAGTCTTTGGTTGTTTTTTGTTGTTTGTTTGCTGAGGAAGATTGGCCCTGAGCTAACATCTGTGCCAATCTTCTTCTATTTTGTATGTGGGACTCCACCACAGCATGGCTGATGAGTGGTATATAGGTCCTCGCCTGGAATCGGAACCCATGAACCTGGGGCTGACGAAGCAGAGAGTGCGAACTTAACCACTACGCCATTGGGCCGGCCCCTGACGTCTTTGAATTCTGGAGGATTTTCGGAGAATAAGTTATATGTATTTATTCTGAAAATATTCGTTCTGTGCCTATGGTGACCCAGAACCTATGCTGGGTGCCAAGAAGCTTCAGATGAGCCAGGCATGACACCTGGCGTCCAGGAGCTCTTATTCGGTGGGGGGCACCAACGAGTATAATTTGGGGGAATGAATTTTTAAAGGACCAATATTGTGTTTGAGGCCTTGAAGAAGACCAAGAGTACTTTTACACTTAAGGAATAAAAAAAGATGACCTTGGAAATTGCAAGAATATATCTGTACTTGACACTATTGGCTGCCTACCAGGTACGTATTCCTTTCCTCCTAAGAGGTTCTTGATTTTATTCCAGTGTCTCTACCTCCCTGGCAAAGTGCTGTAACTCAGAGGGAGTGGACACTGCCTTGGGCTCCAGAGGCATATCTGGATTCGTCTAAACCAGTCACGGCAAGTTCAAGATTCAGCCTCAAGCCAAGCAGTGCATGGTACTCAGCTGGAGAAAGTTACAAGTCAGGGGTGAGCACACAGCGTAAGCTAAAAAAAGTTCATCTCTCTTCGGCATGAACTTTACTTCTAAGTAAATTCAAATGAGAGAGAACGGCAATAGATCCATCCTAAATAAGAAAGACAATAATGCACAAAATGAATTAAATAAGGAAGGGTATAGTTTCACCTCTCTGCCAAGATATTATGGCTGGATTTGCAAAACAAGATAAGGGATTGTGAAGAATAAATAAGTGACAAACTCCTCTATCTCTTATTTATTTATTTTTTTGTGAGGAAGATTAGCCCTGAGCTAACAACCGTTGCCAATCTTCCTCTTTTTGCTGAGGAAGATTGGCCCTGGGCTAACATCCGTGCCCATCTTCCCCTACTTTATATGGGATGCTGTCACAGCGTGGGTTGACAAGCAGTGCATCGGTGCGTGCCCGGGATCGGAACCTGTGAACCCCGGGCCACCACAGCAGAGCTCGTGCACTTAACCGCTACGCCACTGGGCCAGCCTCTCCTCTATCTCATTAACTAGTGAGACAACGAATCTCTGCAGGTTCCGTTTTATACATATACATCCAACAGGTTTGACCTTGAGGCATGTCCTGTAAAGAGCCCCTTTTTACATAAAGATTAGTCATTTTAACCTGCCAGCTACCAGGTACACCTGGTAATCTGGCCTGCTTTGAAGCTTTACAAGGAGAACCTTTGAGAAACTCTGACAAGGGTCAAACCCCTCCCTCATGTCATTTCATGGTACACAAGTGCTATATGACATTATAAATACTCAGCGACAACCATTTCCCTGGACATTTACCTGAGACCAAGTTCAATATCTTAATCCTAGTAAATAATTGAAAAGACCTTCAAAGATGACAGCAAACTGCTTAAGTGCTACATATTACTAATTAACATCTCTAAATATGCTTTTTACAATCTCTCAAGAATTCTCTTTTTTGGGGAGACAAATGTTCTCTAAATTTTCTTAGGAACAGAAGAAGCAAGGGTGAAATTTAGAATATCAGCATATATATAAGGAAACCCAAAGGATTTTTTAGATAACATCTCTGTATATGTAATTAAGTAGCTTGAGAGCCAATATTTGCCCCAAATTCTTGGGAATTATACATACCTAAATAAAGTGGTCAAGTAGTTGTCTTTTCAGAATGAGAATCTGAGTTTCTCCTGTAGGAAATCTCAGTGTGTATGACTTTTCTATATCTTTGGAAACAACGAGAATTTCAGTTCCAGTGTAGGTGTTGGTCCCATCGGGAACAATTAGAGGGAGAAGAAACAGGCAGTAAAGTAGAAATGGTAGGTAAAGTGAATGGCAAAGAGGAGAAGGGAAAAAGCTGAGAGAAAGGAAACCAGGTCCCAGAATGCTATTTCTACATTTCTGAATCTCTGCAGGTTCTATTTTATGCATATACATCCAACAGGTTTGGCCACACACAAGGGGCTGACAGCCTAGACTGTGGGCCGTGTCTGGGGCACAGACTCAAGAGGCAGGAATTAGCAGCGAATTTTTTAGACAAAAGATCAGGAAGGCATTGAACATTTAAGTGGGTAGACAGCTTTTAGAAATAAAGTACTTCTTAGTATGCCTATCATCTGTCCCAAAGCCAAATGAAGAAGTTTCTAGTAAACAAGGGATAAGATGGAAATTACCTACATATCCATCCTTACTAACTGCAAAATGTCATTGATATCCTCATTTGTGTATTTTATTTATTGGTTTATTTTCCTGAAAGTTAAAAAAAAAATGTGTTTTCAGTCTCCCAATGCCATCTTCCCTTTTTGGTCGTGAATTCCTCAGATCTACGTTCTACTAAAATGTGGTTTTCAGTAACCTAACCTTTGGGTCTGAGAAGAGCTGCTCTATTTTGCCAACATCAGAGTGTTCTGTGTTCTCTGCAAGGCTGCCTGCAATGCATAAATAAATCAGGAAGGAGGAGAGCCATGCAGACTGACTGCATGACGGAAGAGAAAGAAGACTGCGAATATATGACTTCTTGACTCAGCTCTGCCCCCCAGCACCTGAAGAGTGTTTTGTTTTCCAAACACACCCCAAGGAGTCCTAAATGCAAAGGAAATATGGCCAGGTCAGCACCGCTGGCTATAACAGTTGACCTAGACAGCAGAGGAGCGAATGCCCAGCAGACTTGGCAGCCGGCCCAGGTTTGAGCTTTCAAAGGAGAAATAGAAGAAATAGCTTTTAGCCAAAACAATGCGTGACCTTGGGGAAGTCAATTTGCCTGTCTGAACCTCAACGGCCTCAGCTGCAAATGATGGAGTAAGATTAGTTCAGTTGCTTTTCAATATACAAAAAAAATTTTTTTCCTCTCCGAAGCCCCAGTGCATGGTTGTATATCCTAGTTATAAGTCCTTCTAGTTCTTCTGTGTGAGCTGCCGCCACAGCATGGCAACTGACAGATAGGTGGTGTGGTTCCGTGACTGAGAAACAAACCTGGGCCACCGAAGCGGTGAGAGTGCTGAACTTTAACCACTGGACCATCAGGGCTGGCCCACAAAAAAAATTTTAAGTAGGGAAAGGCCCATTAAATAAAATGTCACCCCAGGGCCTATTATATAAAATGATATAAGATTAAAAGTCTGTACTAATTCATGGAAAGTGAGGAGGGGCCCAGGGAACCCCTATTTGAGACCAGGCCACTCCCACTCCCCCATCCCCCAGGGCCTTCTCTGGAGCATCCCCTCAGAGCAGTTCAGTAATCAGTTTGAAAACCACTGACCTCAATCTCTGCAGGAAATCACATACCACATTCCTATAATTAACTTTTGGCCTTCAGTACACAGGCTATAGGTATTCCAACCTTGAGTCTTTAAAGGATTTAATAAACTCTGGGCCAATGTCATTGCAAGGTCATATCACTTATCTCCATTTTTTCAGATTAGAGCTGTAAACGTTAAGTGTTCTTCCAA